ATAAGCCAGGCATGGTGGCATGCACCTGTAATTCCAGCTACCAGGAGGCTGAGGCAGGATAATCATTTGACCTTGGGAGGCAGAGTTTGCAGTGAGTGGAGATAGTGCCACTGCACTCCAACCTGGAGTGAGAGACTGTCTCCAAAAAAAAAAAAAAAAAAAAAAACGGCCGGGCACAGTGGCTTACTTCTGTAATCCCAGCACTCTGGGAGACCAAAGCGGGTGAGTCACCTGAGGTCAGGAGTTCGAGACCAGCCTGGACAACATGGTGAAAGCCCGTCTCTACTAAAAATACAAACATTAGCCAGGTGTGGTAGTGGACCCCTGTAATCCTAGCTACTCCAGAGGCTGAGGCAGGAGAATCACTTGAACCCAGGGGGCAGAGGTTGCAATGAGCTGAGATCGCGCCACTTCACTCTAGCCTGGGCGATAGAGCAAAACTCTGTCTCAAGGAAAAAAAAAAAAAAAAAAAAGTCTACCATTAGTAGACACCTTTAGTCTTCCAACGAGATACTTCCACATCCCCCCTTGTAGTTAAAAAATGCTTAACTTTGGGCTGGGTGCGGTGGCTCATGCCTGTAATCCCAGCACTTTGGGAGGCAGAGTGGATCATGAGGTCAGGAGTTCGAGACCAGCCTGCCCAATATAGTGAAACCCTGCCTCTATTAAAAATACAAAAATTAGCTGGGCGTGATGGCAGGCGCCTGAATTTCCAGCTACTCGGGAGGCTGAGGCAGGAGAACTGCTTGAACCCAGGAGGCAGAGGTTGCAGTGAGCTGAGATTACGCCACTACACTCCAGCCTGGGCAACAGAATGAGACTTCATCCCCCCGAAAAAAAAAAGCAAGCTTAACTTTGAAAAGATTTGGTCTTCTCATACGCCTCCTATAAAAAGAAACAAAATAAATATGAGAAAAGGTAGAAAAGGCCTTTGTCGTAGGGAACAATTTTTTCTAAAAAGGTTTTTCAGCAAGACCCTCTCAAAAAAAGGGTTGTTACAATTCTGACACCATATCAACTTTTAAAGACCACTGTTTTCTTAGAATGTTTCTTTTTTTCCATTTATTGCACAAACAATTAATTTGGGGGGGACTTTAAAAAATCATAATCAGGCCAGGCACAGTGGCTCAATGCCTGTAATCCCAGCACTTTGGGAGGCCGAGGCGGGTGAACCACATGAAGTCAGGAGTTCAAGATCAGCCTGGCCAACATGGCGAAACCCCATCTCTACTAAAAATGACAAAATTAGCTGAAATATCACAGCTACTTGGGAGGCTAAAGCAGGAGAATCGCTTGAACCCAGGAGGTGGAGGTTGCAGTGAGCCAAGATCATGCCATTGCACTCCAGCCTGGGCAACAGAGCGAGACTCTGTCTCAAAAAAACAAACAAAAAAAATCACAATCAGTAAAATTAATGTTTAATGAACATAGTGTTCTTTATTTTCTATTTTTTTAGAGACAAGTCTCCCTCTGTCTCCCAAGCACAGCATAGTGGTGCAATCATAGCTCATTGTAACTTGGGACTCCTGGGTTCAAGTGATCCTCCCACCTCAGTCTTTCAAGTAGCTAGGACTATAGGTGCATGCGACCACAATTTTTTGGATGCAGGGCGTCATTATGTTGCCCAGGCTGACCTCAAACTACTGGCCTCAAGTGATCCTCCCTCCTTGGCGTCCCAAAGTGTTGAGATTACAGGTGTGAGTCACCAAGTCTGGCCCAGGATGTTACTTTAAAATTGTCTTTTCATCTTCTAAATCAATAAGAACTTCATAGTTGCTTTCAATGCCAATCAACATCCTTTACTACTGTATACACAATGTATTTATTTGACATTTGAAAGGAGATACGAAAGGATGTTACAACCTGCTATGGCAAGAAGATACAAAGGAACATATTGGTATGAACAGAATACCTCAGAGTTGAGTGTATAAAAAAGGCTTAATTCACCAGATGCAGTGGCTCACACCTGTAATCTCAACATTTTGGCAAGTCAAGATAGGAGGATTGCTTGAGCCCAGGAGTTCAAGACCAGCCTGGGCAACATAGGGAGACTCTGTCTCTAAAAAAAAATACATATATATATATATATGCATGCATTAGCCAGGCATGGTGACAACAGGCCTGTGTCCCCAGTTACTCAGGAGGCTGCAGTGAGTCATGTTTGTGCCACTGTACTCCGGCCTGGGCGACAGAATGAGACCCTGTCTCAGCAAAAAACAAACAAAAAAGTTCAAGGTGGGAGTAGGAGTTAATTCAAGGCTACCTAAGCTGGATTTGGGGTGATTATGGTCAAGAATGGATGCAAACAGAATATTAAACTGCCATTCATTAAAAGTGCTTACTACCTGCCAGACCCTGTACTAGGCTCTATGTATTTACTGTCTCTAAGGTCACTCGGCAAGTAAATACCAGATCTGTGACTTTTAACTTCCCACTACAATAAGCTTATGAACTTCGTTGAAGCAAAAATGGTTTGAGAAGTGAAAATCAAGCACCTGTTTCATAGTGTTCTAAAAGTCTAAAATAATCCAGTAGAACATCAGAGATAAAATCCAAAAAGCAAGGTTTCCCCCCAATATTTAAATCAGGAAAGCAACATGATGATATCTGTAAACTATAACTGAACCAAAAATAGGACCAAACGTAGTGAAATCCATTTAGGGAGATATTACTGTGATCTTGAAAGAAGGCCTACTTAATACAGGACAGTGGGCTGGGGAAGTGTGAACCAAAAATAGACATACGCAAAAGCTCTAAAATTTAACCCTGAGAAATAAATGAAATTCACCTAGAACATAATGGTAATGGAATACATTTAAAAGGTGATGTTTTGGGCTTGGCGTGGTGGCTCACGCCTGTAATCTCAGGACTTTGGGAAGCCAAGATGGGCAGACCACATGACCCCAGGAGTTTGAGACCAGCCTAGGCAACATGGTGAAACTGTCTCTACAAAAAATACAAAAATTAGGCCGGGTGCGGTGGCTCACGCCTGTAATCCCAGTACTTTGGGAGGCCGAGGCGGGCAGATCATGAGGTCAGGAGTTTGAGACCAGCCTGGCCAACATGCTGAAACCCCATCTCTACTAAAAATACAAAAAAAAATATTAGTCGGGTGTGGTGGCAGGCACCTGTAATTCCAGCTACTCAGGAGGCTGAGGCAGAATTGCTTGAACCTGGGAGGTGGAGGTTGCAATGAGCCGAGATTGCGCCACTGCACTCTAGTCTGGGTGAAAGAGCAAGACTCTGTCTCAGGACGGGTGGCGGCGGGCAGGAGGTGGAGATTAGCTGGACCTGGTGTCTTGCAGCTATGGTCCCAGCTACTTGGAAGGCTGAAGTGGGAGGACTGAGCCCAGGAGATTGAGGCTGGAGTGAGTCATGTTTGCAGCACTGCATTCCAGCCTGGGTGACAGAGCAAGACCCCGTCTCAAAACAAAACAAACAAAAGGTGAAATTTTGGAATTAGGAAAGATGCTATTTTTACAAATTGGCTTTAAGCTGTTGGCTGGACATTTAAGTTGTAGCATTCTGAAGGCAGTAGAGATGTGGGACTGTAGGATTGAAACAGGTGAGAGGAAAATGCCTATCGATTTTTAAAAGTCTTTAAAGGAGAGCTTTAAAGCAAAGCAATACGAATTGAAGTATGTTTCAGGACACTCCTCTCCTAAAGACAATCAATTATGGTTTTTATTCAAAATACTATTACTCTAACGTTAAATATTTGAGTACAGCGATCATTTCAAATGCATTATGAATAAGTTAACTGAACACGCCTCCCATCTGCTTGCTTTGTGGGTGTTTTATTTTATGTTGCCTTTCATTAGCTCATTTTATAATCTGTTACTTCTGAACACCTTCCACGTGCTGGTGCTTTCAGATATCTATCTCAAAGTATTATTTGTAAATGCCAAAAATACCCTATTATATATAATTGAAAGCTGGCTACATGGTAGACAATATGATCACAAACTTTTAAACAACTTAAGCTGAAGGAATACTTTTTTGTAAGTATCAAATCAAAATGTAATTCAGCATCCAACCATAAAGTGCAACTACAAACTTTTCACAATGCCATTCACAACTTGTGGTTACCATCATAAGCCTGCAGACCTACACACTAATTATCTTTAAAACCCTTATTAGGCTAGGCACGGTGGTTCACGCCTGTAATCCCAGCACTTTGGGGGGCCAAAGTGGGCAGATCACTTTAGGTCAGGAGTTCGAGACCAGCCTGGCCAACGTAGTGAAACTTCATCTCTGTTAGAAATACAAAAATTAGTGGGGTCCTGTAACCCCAGCTACTTGGGAGGCTGAAGCAGAACCACATGAATCCAGCCAGGAGGCGGAGGTTGCAGTGAGCCAAGATTGCACAACTGTACTCCAGCCTGGGCCACAGAGCTAGACTCCGTCTCAAAAAATAAATAAATAAAATTAAAATAAAACCCTTACTAAGGATTTAAAAAACCTTAATTACATGATGCCAAAAGCTAGTCCCCGTCTGGCTTAGGGGCCCACAAGCTCCTGCTTTAAAGTCAGTTTTGTTTTTCTGATGTACTTACATTTGTGCATCACAATCAAGAGGTTCCCAGCTTGGTGGAACTTTCAAAGATGAGGCAGAAAAGTAAACAGGCAATTACAATCTGACTTTTCATGCTGACAAGTGGCACAGTGGCTAGCCCAAATTCCCCTCCCTGACCCAGCTACCTCCCTTATAGACCATTCACAATCACTTAGACCAGGCTGCCACGAGACCTAAGTGAAGACAGGGAGAACACAGCATTTCTTACTCCTACTAACTTGCAACATCATTCTCTCAAGTTGCTCTCACTAGAGGCTCCCAATTACTTCAAGCTGCCCAGTGATATTTGTATTTCTAAAGTGGGCAAGCATGGCCATTCCAGAAAAAGAAACATTCAGACTTGCGCCTTTTGTTACCCAAATATATGATATTCAAACAATTTCTATTTTAACTCTTAAAAATTTAAGATCAAATAATCACATTCTTGAAACAATTCTTAGTCACTTAATCATTTATTTTCAACACGTGCACTATAAAGAACCTAAGAAATGAGATAATTTTAATAACCCATAAACATGTTGATTCCATTTGCAGATTTAAATTTTGTATAAATAGCAGGCATTGCATACATATATCAAGTGTACTTTGTTTATAATCACATTTATGCTACAATACTCCTCAGAAAAAGAAAGGTTCTACTTGGTTCTAGGCTTCAGTATTATGAACTCCAAATAATGCTTTGAGGACCTCCAAAGGTAAAGTACTAATCCCTTTGGCCATTTATTGAGACAGAGAGAGAGAGTTTTTTGAAGCAACAATGTTCCATTAGTAAAGCTGCTGTGCAAAATGATCCCAGTCCTATTCTAAGCTTACAGTTGATTTTATTGTCCTCACCTAAGTATATACAATTCACATGAGAGTTAAACACTAAATCAAGATGGTTTTCACTATTTTACTTAAGATTCATATAAATATGAATATAAATTAAGAAGCTAATCCACAGTTTGAGAGGTACTTTTTACATTAGAAATGTTTTTTAAAATGTTAAACTGATACATAATTGTACATATTTATGGCATATGACTTTCACATACAATGTGTATCAAATCAGTGCAATTAGCATACCCATCAGCTCAAACCTTTATCATTTATTTGTAGCAAGAACATTCAATACATTAACTACAGTCACCCTACTGTGTCTCTCTCTCTCTCTCTAATAAATGGCCAAAGGGATTAGTATTTTTACCTTTGGAGGTCCTCAAAGCGTTATTTGGAGTTGATAATACTTCAGCTAGAATGTATTCCTCATTTAACTTTGTACCCATTAAAAGTGGTTTTGTGCACAAATAACAGACAGATGTTCTACCCATATATGTATTCCAAAATTATTGTGTGACCTTTTTAAAAAAAACACACACACACAACAAATTGTAAAAGGCACCGAGATAACATCTGCTTCCAGATCAGTGCTAGGCTCGAAAAATAAAGATTGTTCTACCAGGAATCACAAGTTAGAACTGAGTATTTGTGCAAGCAGAAAGCACATAGTGTCAGTCATTTCAGGCAAATGTTATTTGGCTCTCATCCCCAGCTATCTGTCAGAACAATTAAAAGAGGTCAAAACAGTCCAGCATAACTAGGCTTCATTATATAAGGCCATTTTCTTCTAAGATGCTAATAAACCAAAATAAGAAATAAAAAAAGATATTATTTGAGCTATTTTCATACCAACTGTTGGCTCCTTATATCCTCCCTTCTATAATAAAGGGCATATTTTACTGCAAAGAAAATTTTACTTTATATGTATCACTAGCCACAAATTTTTGAATGTCATTACATAAATGTTGCCTAGTACCATTAACCAAATAGTGTAACTATTTTATGTCCACGTTTCACTTCTGTATTTACAAACATATCTATCAGTAAAGAGTTAACAATGAGATGCAATCAAACATCCATATTATCTGACATTCTGTAGACAGCAATGTAGATGATTTTTTAATCACGTTTCATTTGAGTGACCTTATATAAAAAGTCAATAATTTAGAGGTTCTAAGTCTCCAGATTTTCACAAATGTAAATATAGAAATGGTTATAGACCATGAGATTTTTAAGAAACCTCTGCCATGTCTGCATCCTGTTGTAACTGCTGTATCATCTTTTCTTCCAGCTGCTTTCTTTTGCCTGCAAGAGGGGTCAAGATGAGTTTTGTCTAATTTCTTTGATGTCCTGAACTTTCTGTAGTCCTTTATTTTTCTTCAATTTGTTCATTATACATTTAGCTTGGCATTTGATCTTTTCAACTGTCTTCATTGCATCAGTAGTTTTATTCCATAGCTCTTGCTGGTATTTGACAGGCTCGTTTCTGTATTTTCCGAATTCAAATGAATTATCCACTGTAAGCTCATTATTAATAGTTGCTTTACAGAATGCTTGAGTCCACCTAACCTGAGGATTGCACTTCTTTTAAAGTGTTTATGCCATTTGTATTTACACACTCTGAACACCTTGCAACTGCTGCAGATGAACATCATAATGTGGTCAGGGTAGATGGGGCCCAAAGAAACCAACACTTCTCAGTACACATGCTGAGCTGGGATGGGCCTCCACTGAGCAAACACAGAGCTTGAGAGGAAGTCAAGAGGTATCTTGGATTCCACATTCTGACCCTGTCATTCTTGAAGGAAAATGATGCATCATTTCTGAATAATTCGGAAAGAACTTATAATCTTTCCAGTTAGTTTTTAAATAACAATTCTGTTTATCAAATTTCTGAATTAACTTTTCTGAATTCACAGGTTTCTAAAACTGGCCTTAAGCAGAAGTCTGAAACCTAGTCTGGGAACTATGTAACCCAGGCCAAGAAGTTGCTTTAAAGTGTCTTAGAGTTGTTTTTCAACTTAGGGGGAAACAACAGATTCCATTAAATCCCAAAAAGGATTTTTTTGTGTGAAAAAGGGCCTGATGTACTAAGTTAGACTCAGGATGCTTTAACAAGTTTTATCTTATGGGTAAATGGTGGCTATTTTCACAGATAACATCAATACTCCCATCCCTTACTACGGTTTATACAAAAGAGGCTGGAAAATAAGTACATTTTTACAGCTGGGTGTGGTGGTTCACGACTGTAATCCTACTTAGCACTTTGGGAGGCTGACACAGGAGGATCTCTTGAGCCCAGGAGTTCAAGATCAGCCTAGGCAACATAGGGAGACCCTGTCTCTATTGTTAAATCAAGAAAACCTAAAAAACATTTTCACTTACATAGCACCAAATATAAGAGTATAAGAGCCCTTTTTTTTTTTTTTTTTTAAAACCTAGAAAGAGTATTTTGGAGAAAGAAACTAAGGATCAGAAGGTTTAAGAGTATCAAAAATCTGGGGCCAGGTGCAGTGCCTCACACCTGTAATCCCAGCATTTTGGGAGGCTGAGGTGGGTAGATCACTTGAGTTTAGGAGTTCAAGATCAGCCTGGCCAACATGGTGAAACCTCATCTTTACGAAAAATACAAAAAAATCAGCTGCTATGGTGACACATGTAATCCAGTTACTTGGGAGGCTGAGGCAGAATAGCTTGAACCCAGAAGGCGGAGGTTGCAGTGAGCCGATTTCACTCCACTGCATTCTAGCATGGGTGACAGAGCAAGACTCCGTCTGAAAAAAAAAGAGAGTGTCTAAAATTTAAATACTAATTCTTGGCTGGACATGGTGGCTCACATGAGGTCAGGAGTTTGTGACCAGCCTGGCCAACATGGCAAAACCCTGTCTCTACTAAAAATACAAAAATTAGCTGGCCGTGGTGGTGCATGCCTGTAATCCCATTTGCTCCAGAGGCTGAGGCAGGAGAACGGCTTGAACTCGGGAAGCAGAGACTGCAAGATCATGACACTGCACTCCAGCCTGGGTAACAGACTCATCTCAAAAAAAAAAAAAACAAAAAAAAAAAAAACTAAATCTTTCACATATTTTCTCTTTACATCAAAGGTACTAAATAAGTTACATTTAGGCCGGGCGCGGTGGCTCACGCCTGTAATCACAACACTTCGGGAGGCTGAGGCGGGCAGATCATGAGGTCAGGAGATCGAGACCATCCTGGCTAACACAGCGAAACCCTGTCTCTTACAATAAAAGTACAAAAAATTAGCTGGGCGTGGTGGCGGGTGCCTGTAGTCCAAGCCACTCTGGAGGCTGAGGCAGGAGAATGGTGTGAACCCGGGAGGCGGAGCTTGCAGTGAATCGAGATTGCGCCACTGCACTCCAGCCTGGGCTACAGAGCGAGAATCCATCTCAAAAAAAAATTAATAAGTTACATTTAAATGCCATATACATATATTTAAAAAAAAAAAAAAAAAGACACTTCTCATTTAAGACAGAATAGAAATTATTTAAAATTAGGGGTTGGGGTAAAGGATGAGCTACATATTCAACGCAAATTATATTAAGTATTCACTATTCTGCTACCAAAGTAGGTCAATTATACTAAAGAGAAGAAGACATCTACGTGGACTGAAGCATTTTCTCACTTTGACATATGTAAATAATTTTCATGTTGTCTAAATTCTTAGGGTTAGTCAGAAATATATAATTCTCTTACAGACAGGTCAACTAGGGGAAATAAGTTAGCACAATCATTTGAATTGGTTGTCTACACACTGGGCAGGGCTTATTCCTTTTCTTTAGCTTCTTTGCACATGTAAAGCAGGCCATAAGATGTCCTGTTTTGCCATGGACAATGCAACCATTTTTAGGTCGACCCTGACAAATCACACAAGGTTCAATGGCATTAAGGGGCAAACTAGATTCCACACTTTCTTCTTTGTCTTGTGTTTCTTCCCTTTCAAACTCTTTCACGTCTTCTTGGCTGCTATAAATAATGCTACTAGAAGTTGATGGCTGAGAATAGTCCTCACTTTCTTGTGATTGTGAGGCTTGTGTGATTTTATCATCATTTTCCTCAACACACGACTCTTTGGAATCATTCACTATAGTTTTTTTACAATCAGGAACATCAAAGCCCTCTTCAGCTGGTGTTGAGTTTTCCAGTTTGGCTTTCTCAGAGATTTCCCCTTTATCTTTCCCTTTATCTTCAGGAAGCCAATTCTCACGAAGGGCCCAACATCTGTTGCAATGTGATGGAAGAGGGGGATTCATTTCATTGCATGAAGTGCATTTCCAATAGTCCTTCAATGAAATAAGACAGAGTCAGTTTCTGTAACCCTTTAACTACTAGTCACAGGAATGCTAGCAACTTTGCTATGTCTAAGGTAAAATATATCATACAACTCAGTATTCAGTGTTTCATGTTTTATATAAAATAGTCACCGTGAACAGCATGAGGACTATAGCTAGTTATATATTGGTATATTGGAAATTTACTAAAAGAGTAGATTTTAGGTATTTTTACCACACACACAAGAAAGGTTAACTATTCAAGATAATGGATTACATTAATTTGCTTGATTGTAGTGATCATTTCACTATTTACAAGTGTGTCAAACATCATGTTATATGTCTCAATTATACACAAAACAGATTTTTAAAAGGTCAATATGTAACAGTCTCTCCTAAAGTACAGTAAGTACACCCATTTTTTTCACTCATACCATCCTGAAAACTTCTAAACTAAAAATGTATTAACTGTGATGTGATATTAATCATGTACTTATAAAGTTCTCTGTTTCAGGACACAAATGCAGTTGCTTCCTTTAGTTGAAGCAAGTCTATGGGATCTTTTACTCTGTCATGCAGCCTATATCCACGCCCACCCTAGACGCTATTCCAAGAGTCCATCCAACCAATCTAGATGAAACCTGCCTCCTAGAGAAAGACTTCCTAATCCACCAGTGACTAGAAGTACCTTAGAAGTGCTCTAAAACCATGGCTTAACTGAGTATTCCCTAACCCTATCCACAAGAGAAATGCTAAAACATTTTTCACAGCAAGCATTGCCGCTAAAACCTACCATCCTTGGTCAATAACCATAATATATGCCCTTTACTTGTCTATCCTTTCCTGTGTTCTCATCTCTGTAACTGCTCAATGCTTCTTCCTTTTCCCAACGTTTCATCCCGCAAACCTTTCCACCGTGTGATTTGGATAACAAACTCTCCCACATCCCCAGCCTTTTTACATAACCTATCTTTTTGCCTTAGCTGAAGCATGGTTCTTGCCTGAGGACATTTAACAAGTAAAAACTGGTAAGAGGTCTTTCCATAACCATTTTGAGATTGCTTCACAAATGACCTTAAGACAGGGGCAATAAAAATAGATTATTCATTCTTCTTTTTTCAAGTTATACAAGGGGGTTTTTCCACAGGTCATAAAGCCAAAGAAAAAGGTCTTGCAATATGGAGTAAAAGTACATCAAAAAGTCCAATAAATTGCAAGATCGATATCTAAAATAATTTGAGTCTTTGAGTCTTAAAATAGATTTAAAAAATTAAAAGTATCTAAAATATTTTACTCAACATCAAATGATTCAACTAGTTATTTAAATTATTTTCTAATACACTAAAAACTTTGGAAACTCTTGAATTTTCATCCTTTTTTGCATTTGAATACTTAGTAACTGTTTATAACTCAGAAAAAATGGAATTTATTTCCTATTTAAATATAATGAAGGCAATATTAAGAACAAAAACTAAAGCACGATAGTTTTAAAAACACCTATAATACCTCAGGAAGTCAGTGAAGTATGCATGAGATGTAAACATTTAAGCCTTAATTTCTTTAATGGCAAATCCTACCACATTTTATAATACGAATCAATAATAAAAATGTTTACATTTGACTGGGTGTGATGGCTCACACCTGTAATCCTGGCACTTTGGGAGACTGAGGCAGGTGGATCACTTGAGCCCAGGAGTTCGAGACCAACCTGGGCAACATGGTGACATCTCTACAAAAAATACAAAAATTAGCTGGGTGTGATGGCATGCAACTGTAGTCTCAAGCTACTCAGGAGGCTGAGGTGGGAGGATCACTTGAGCCTGGGAGGTGGGGGCTGCAGTGAGCCATGATCCTGTCACTGCACTCCAGCCGGGATGACAGGGCAGGACCCTATCTCAATTGAAAAAAAAAAAAAAAAATAGTTTACATTTGACAAGGTTGGCAAAATGTTGGTAACAGTTAAAGCTGGGTGATGAGTATACTGGAGATACGTTGAAATTTTCCAAAATAACATCAAAAAGTGCAAATTCAGCTGGGCACAGTGTCTCATGCCTGTAATCCCAGCACTTTGGGAGGCCAAGGTGGGCAGATCACTTGAGGTCAGGAGTTCATGACCAGCCTGGCCAACATGGTGAAACCCCATCTCTACTAAAAACAAAAAAATTAATGGGGTATGGTAGTGCACGCCTGTAATCCCAGCTACTCGGGAGACTGAGGCATGAGAATCGCTTGAACCTGGGAGGTGAAGGCTGCAGTGCACTGAGATTGCACCACTGCACTCCAGCCTGGGAGAAGGGTAAGACCTTTTTTTTTTTTTTTAAAAAAAAAAAAAAAAGTTCAAATTCCAGCACCTAAAAATAAAAATTATAGCTACATGTCTCATCACAACAAATAAAAGAAAAACGCTTTATTCAGACTTTACAAAAACATTTTAACTTTATAAAAATCAGCTCATTTCAGAAAGTAGGCTAGACATATTTTCCTAATCTTGACCTTAATGAAATTTTTTTTATTTCTTAAAAAAAGTAGATATATACTTACAGCTAAGGAAATTTCAGGATCTTCTTCAAATGAATCTGTATCACTCTCCCCTGCCTGATACACAGTAACTCGATATACCTAATAAAACACATTCGTTAGCATCAATTCATCACCCTTTTTCCTTCAATCAGAAGGCTTCCTAGTAATAAGTCCTAAACAAGCATCATGTACTACAATATATGAGAAAGTCTTAGACAATTTCAAATAGAGTGAGTGAGTGTAAAGGGGGAAAAAATGCAGGAGAGAGAAATCCTTACCTACAATGGTAAAAGTCAATACAAAGGATGTTTAGGATGAATAAAACAAAACATTCAGCTAAGTGGTTTTACTTTATAAATAAATAATATGGAGATATTAAATAACAGGGAAATAGCTAGAAATGTTAAAGGCAGTCACTTCTGGGAGACAGATCTCTGAGGGTACTATTTGACTTTAACTGTATGCATGTTTTACTTTTATAAAAAGTTAATATTAAAACAGTAATTGAATTATATTTTTAAAAAGTGAACAGACCATTATAATAAGCATGTTCATTGAGGTCTATTGATTTCTCGGCATTAGTAGTCATATAATAATATAAATCAGATAATAAAGAACTATGAAATCCTCAGGTCCACAAACCAGTGTGTTAGTCTGAACAAATCAAGAGGTAAAGATTTCAAGTGAAATCTGAATTTATTATTATTCCAATCTCAAAGTCAATGAACATGGAAAATATTTAATAATTTTCCAATATAATTAGAGGGGAAAAAAAATACTACCTCATCATCTTCATCTGAGAGTTCTTGTGCTTCTTCACTAAGGCTATAATCTTCTGAGTCGAGAGATTCAACTTCAAATTCTACACTAAACTGATCTGAAACTGAATCCTGATCCAACCAATCACCTGAATGTTCACTTACACCAGCATCAAGATCCTAAAACAAGAAAAAAATATATAACTTAATAAACATCAGCTCTTGACCTCTGTAACAGCTTCCTAACTCATCCCTGTGCCTCTGCTGCTGCTAGTGGTGTAACACTTGGGGGATGGGCCTGCTACTCCGATCCGGGGGGTCCCGAGGGAAATCGGTGGGGGGAGGACTGGGCCCCCCCACCCAGTCATCCTGGAGCTGGTTGCCACGCACATTTCCTCCTCAGATCCATCCTGCACACTTAAACTAGATTAAGATTTCAAGGTTATTACTATGTTATTTTCCCTGTTCAAAACCCCACTGCATAAAGGAAAAATGCCAAAGTCTCTTGGCATTGAAAGTACATACAGTGTGACTGTATTAACATCTTTGTCTGTCTTCAACTAGACACCCTTTCTCCCTTACTAAATATGGACAATCCTGCCAGATCTAGATTGCTTCCTCAACTAATCTTGGCATTTCAACTTCCACACTTTCCCCCTCTAACTAGAATAATTTCAGTTTCAAAATCCTATTCATCCTTCTTTGACTAAGCCTTTGTCAATACTGTAACTGAAAAGGCTCTTCCACCTTTAATCATCCTTACTACTTGTATAATAATGAATTATATAGTCTCACAAATAAATTATGCAAAACATAACTTTGCAGGCATGATTCTCATCTGAAATATATACACTTTGGGCTAAGACCTGTCTTTACTCAACTTTATATGTCCAAATTGGTAGAATACAAGTAACAAGACACAACACTTATAATACTTATGGGTTTTTTTTCTTAGAAAAATGTCTCTTGAGTCATAGATACTTACGTTTTTTAATAAACTTTGAGATTTTCTTTTAAAGAGCCTTTAGAAAATTAAAAAACAAAACCTGTAGCTGCTCACCTGATTCCTCATTTCAAGACTTCAATAAATTGTGTACGAACCTAATAAGACCTTCAGGCCAATAACATTTGCTGTTAGTGGCTAAGGGTAGGAGCATATATTAAGCAGAAGGCTACAAGTGGAAAAAGTCTAGCAGTCAGGATATGACTTATTCTACACTTGCCACTAAGTAGCTAATTTAACCTTAGACACATCACTTAACTTATTTTATCTATTTATTTATTTTGAGACGGAATCTTGCTCTGTTGCCCAGACTGGAGTGCAGCGGCCTGATCTCGGCTCACTGCAACCTTCACCTCCCAAGTTCAAGCGATTCTCCTGCCTCAGTCTACCAAGTAGCTGGGACTACAGGCGTGTGTGTCACCATGCCTGGCTAATTCTTGTATTTTTAGTAGAGGTGGGGCTTCACCATGTTGGTCAGGCTGGTCTTGATTTCCTGACCTCAAGCAATTCAACCGCTTCAACCTCCCAAAGTGTTAGGATTACAGGTGTGAGCCACCGCGCCTGGCCCTTTTTTTTGCTCTATCGCCCAAGCTGAAATGCAGTGGCATGATCTCGGCTCATTGCAACCTCCGCCTCCCAGGTTCAAGCTATTCTCCTGCCTCAGCCTCCCAAGTAGCTGGGATTACAGGCATCCACTACCACAACTGGCTAATTTTTATATTTTTAGTAGAGACGGGGTTTCACCATGTTGGCTGGGCTGGTCTCGAACTCCTGACCTCTAAGTGATCCACCACCTTGGCCTCCCAAAGTGCTGGGATTACACCGCGCCCAGCCCATATCATTTAACTTCTAAAGGCTGTAGCTACTTCATCTAGAAAAGGAGCTTAGATTAAATGATATCCATATCTGCATCAGTTCTAAAAACGGAAACAAAGTATATTATTTTTAGGCCTCTGATGTCAAAAGACTTTTTTAAGAGTAGTGTTAAGAAGGAGAGTAAAAGCAACATTCATCAAGTTGCAGCTCTAATTCCTAACAGGGGCTCTACTACCAATCAGATTAGAATCACAAGTCAAGTTAGGACACAATTAACACTCTAACAAAGCAACCCCACAAACCAAATACTTCAACTAACTAAAGTGCACTAATTTTAGAATAAGGGGGTAAATCACAAGAAACATTAAGTCTCAGAAAACATACTCTATGGTAGGGGGTGTGCAAACGGTGGCCCATCACCCATCTACTTTTATAAATAAAGTTTTATTGAACACAGCCATGCCTATTTGTTGACTTGTTGTCTATGGTTGCTCCTGCATTACAAGAGTGGAGCTGAGTAGCTGTGACAGAAACCACGGCCCTGCAGAGCCCAAATAATTAACTATCTGGCTCTTTACAGAAAGTTTGCCAATTCCTGTCCTAGGATACTATAAAAAAATGCAATATTGGGAGTGGTTTTTAAAAGTTTTGGCTAACGTTCATAAAAGAATGCCCCAGAAACTATTAAATTCTCTCTCTATATATATTTTAAATATTATATATAAAAATATATATTTAAAATGTTTTTATATAATTATATATTTTATATAATTATATATATAAATTTATATGTAAATTTAACATACAAATATGTATTATTTAAAAACATATATATATATATATTTTTTTTTTTGAGACAGTCTCGCTCTGTCACCCCAGGCTGGAGTGCACTGGCATGATCTCGGCTCACTGCAATCTCCGCCTCCCGGTTCACACCATTCTCCCACCTCAGCCTCCCCAGTAGCTGGGACTACAGGTGCCCGCCACCACGCTCAGCTAATTTTTTGTATTTTTAGTAGAGACAGGGTTTCACTGTGTTAGTCAAGATGGTCTCGATCTCCTGACCTTGTGATCCGCCTGTCTCAGCCTCCCAAGGTGCTGGGATTACAGGTGTGAGTCACCACACCAGGCCTAAATACTATATATTTAAAAAGCATCAGGCTGCGGGTGGTGGCTCATGCCTGTAATACCAATACTCTGGGAGCCAAAGCAGGAGAATCACATAAGCCCAGTGGTTTGAGACCAGCCTGGGCAACAGGCCGAGACCTCATCTCTGAAAAAAAAGAGTAAAAAAAATTAGTCAGGTGTGGTGCTACACACCTGTAGTCCCAGCTAACTCTCAAGGCTGAGGAGGAAGGATCGCTTGAACCCAGGAGGTTGAGGTTGCAGTAAGCCATCATCATGCCGCTGCACTCCAGCCTGGGCAATGGAGTGAGAGACTATCTCAAAAATTTAAAAAAAAAAAATTGTTTTTAAAGCATCAGATAGGCTTGCTCTGCAAAGATCTTAGATTTTTGCAGTCAGAAATACCTAGAATTGTTTGAATTCCAATTGCGACAGTTGTAGGAACCTTAAACAAGTTATTTAAAACCCCAGTCTTAGCTAAAAATGGAATCTAAGGCTGCAAAAATGACAGAAGATCATAATATAAACTGTGTGGTGTACAGTCTAGAACACAGTCTTAGTTTCCCACAATTTACTAAACCCCAAAGAAAAGATGGGAGAGGAATGCACTTTCCTTTAACTCCCTTCACAAACTGGTGAATGATGACACCCAGTGATGACTGTAACATTCTCAAATGAGGGAAATTAAAATGCAGAAGAGAAAAAAAACAGGCCCTACCAAAAGCTTTCACAACTAGGGACTTAACCTGAAAAACGAGATTTTGTTGTTCTTGTTGTTTAAGATGGAGTTTCGCTCTTGTTGCCCTTGCAATGGTGTGATCTCAGCTCACTGCAACCTCCACCTCCTGGGTTCAAGCGATTCTCCTGTCTCAGTCTCCCGAGTAGCTAGGATTACAGGTGCCCGCCACTACACCCAGCTAATTTTTGGTATTTTTGGTAGAGATGGGGTTTCACCATGTTGGCCAGGCTGATCTTGAACTCCTGACCTCAGGTGATCCACCCGCCTGGACCTCCCAAAGTGCTGGGATGACAAGCACGAGCCACTGTGCCCAGCTGAGATTTTTTAATAGATAGGGTTTTGTAAGAGAATGCAGGACAGGACTACCAAAAAGAAAAAAAGAAATACCCCTCTACTGCACACTTTGATAATGTGGTGGGAGTTATTAAGAAATTATTTTAGGCAAATAGAAAGGGAAAGTGGTCCTTGGAAGGTTTTTTGTAGCTCCAGAAACATTTCTTGTCTAGCATAAAATCCTGGCTCTTAAAGGCCGGCAACCTTTAAGATGCAAACGCAAGAGGGTCCACCCAACATGGCAATTCCCACTGTCGTCTTCTTGCCCTTCCCCCAACAGGTACCTAACAGCATGGCTGCCCCTACATAACCCTACATGTGTAAAATGTCATGGCACGCTGCATTTGCAGTATTAAAGGACTAGAGTGGGAGGGGTAGGTTTCTCGAGGGCTAAATGACATGCCTGGTTAAACCAACCCTCTAAGCCCTATGCAAATAAGACACCACTCCCTCCAGCCATCACATAAAACCAGCTAGTATGTGAGGACTCCTCTTTCAGCTTTAGAGCACCCCCACCCCGACTCTGTAAGGGGGAGCTTCTTCCTTCTGCCTTCTCCCTTCTTGCCTATTAAACTCTCTGCTCCTTTAAACCACTCCACGTGTGTCCATGTCATTTTACCTAATTCAACTCAAAACAAAAAATCTGATGTTCCTCTACTCCTCAAAGCCGTATCAGTAACAAGGCAGTGTCCCAGGTACAAAGCAAGAACAAGGACTCCATTCAGCTAGAATTCTGATATAACTTTAACAAAAACTATACATTTAATGGGGGTCCAGGTGTTGTGGCTCAACGTCTGTAATCCCAACACTTTGGGAGGCCAAGGCAGGCACATCACTTGAGGTCAGGAGTTCAAGACCAGCCTGGCCAACATACTGAAACCCTGTCTCTACTAAAAATACAAAAATTAGCCGAGTGTGGTGGTGGGAGCCTGTAATCCCAGCTACTCAGGAGGCTGAGACATGAGAATTGCTTGAACCTGGGAGGCAGAGGTTGCAGTGAGCCAAGATTGCACCACTGCACTCCAGCCTGGGCAATAGAGAGACTCAATTTCAATAAATAAATAAATAAATAGGATATGATAATCCTCTTTTTAACCAAACTTGTAGGTTGTGTACTCATCAAGTTTTAATTGGATTCAATTTTATCACACATATTTCCTCTCAAGCACCTCTGTTTTTTCACTGGATTTATTAAGTTTTTTCATTTTTGTCATTAATGATCTATCTCCCCATGAAGACAAGAATCATATCTACCTTGACTACTACTGTATCTGCAGTGCCATCTCAACTGAATGGAATCTGGTATAAACTTAAATTATCTACGAATGAAGAACCTGCTCTCAGACCGAGCAGGAGCTCATTATGCCATCTAGTGGTCTACATGAGTAACAGCTCCATTAAATACAGTAATTCTAGAGGGCAGGTATGTGTTCAAACAATCACTACTTTGGAAGAGAAAAATAAAAAGATAATACAGGAATTAATAATAACAGGTAAAAGACTAGGATTACTACCACAATTTGTTCCATCTCCTACATCTTCTAGAGAACTATACAAGGATTACAAGGATTACTAATATCCAGAATAATGACCATCAACACTGCCATATTACCAAAAACTGTATCCAATCCTTTTGTTTCCCTGGGCCACATTGGAAGAATTGTCTTGGGCTACACGTAAAATACACTAACAATAGCTGATGCGCAGGGAAAAAATTGTAAAAAAAAAAAAAAAAAAAAATTCTAATAATATTTTAAGAAAGTTTATGAATTTGTGTTAGGCCACATTCAAAGCCATCGTGGCATATGGCCCACAGGGCATGGGTTGGACAAGCCTGTTTAAAGACATACAAAACAAAATATTCCACTTGTCAAGCATTCTTGTTAACAAAAAAAGATTTTACCAAACGTCTTTCAGTGACATCTCTTAAGAAATGCTGCTCGCTATTATTTTGGAAGTCTGTATTAGTAATTAAAAAGTACGGATACTCTCCCGTCATCCATGCAATAATAAATCTGCATTTCTTTCTTTTTTTTTTTTTTTTTGAGACTGAGTCTCTCTGTCACCCAGGTTGGAGTGCAGTGGCACGATCTCAACTCACTGCAACCTCCACCTCCTGAGTTCAAGTGATCCTCCTGCCTCAGCCTCTCGAGTAGCTGGGACTGCAAGCGTGTGCCACCATGCGTGGCTAATTTTTGTATTTTCAGTACAGACATGGTTTCATCTTGTTGGCCAGCTTGGTCTTGAACTCCTGACCTCAGGTGATCCACCCGCCTCAGTCTTCCAAAGTACTGCGATTACAGGCATGTGCCACCACACCCAGCCCAGTATAAACCTGTATTTTACAGCATAAATAAATAGAACTTACCTGATGTCTAGACCTATCTGGCAAATGTTAAGTTCAGACTATGTTGACTTTTTTGCTGATGGCTGTAATAAAAGATATTTTTACTCTAAATAGTCAAATTGGCCTTAAAATGCTAAAATATTTAACTGAACCAAATTTTGGGTTTTGTTCCTTTATTTCAAAATTCTCAAACAACTCTATGCTCCAATTTATTTGAATGTACTATTGGTGCAGTGGTCCACAAATATTCTCTAATACATAGAGTGACACCGATAATTACTAATACTACTACTAATTTTACCAATACTAGTGTTACTCCACTATTTTCCACATTTCTCACAATACCTTGGGTTGAAGGCAGAGATCAATACAGTAGTTTTATTTTAAAGTAAAATTTAGCACCGTGTTTTGCATCAATCTCGTAAGACACATGTACATTCGATCAGTATGCTTGTTAGGACTGCCAGGACTACAGTTTAACAGCAAGAGTCTTGCCTTACTTAAAAATGAGAACATTACCGGATTCGACGGCGTCCCTGTAGATTCACTGCTACTGCTTCTTTCACAACATATCTCCCTTATTACACACAGAGCCAGGCTTTCATCAAAGGAAAGGGAAATACTATCAGATTTGTGGCGTTTTCTTTGTCGTTCACCAGATAATTCATCTGAATTTTCTTCTGGATATGTAAGGAAAAAAACATAAATTGCTGTACTGTGATTTAGAAAATTGAGCTGTTTTGAGTACCTATCTGTACAGAAACTTAGTTCCAATAAAATTAGCTTCAAAAGTTAACACTGTTTTATTGAATCTGTCCAACTAAGAGTTACAACAGAACACTAGCTGTACATGTGTATTTGTTTGTTTATTTATTTATTTTCTGAGACAGGGTCTTGCTCTGTCGCCCAGGCTGGAGTACAGAGGTGCAATCTCAGCTCACTGCAACCTCTGCCTCATGGACTTCAGTGATCCTCCCACCTCAACCTCAGCCTCCCAAGTAGCTGGTACCATAGGAACGCACCACCACAGCTCACTAATTTTTCTATATTTTGTATAGACAGGGTTTCACCATGTTGCCTAGGCTGAGAATACTATTTTTTAAGAGGTTTCTATTCTTCTTTCAGAACTCTATCTCCATATATCACAATTTAATCCATCTAATGAAGTTTTTATTAACCAAACAATCTAGGAATTTTATTTTCTGCCAAAACCAAACTTTAAAATATAAGAGCTCTTTTTTTTTTCTGAAAAGAGCCAAAGTGGTTAATTTACTTATAAGGTATTCTTAATGTTTCCATTTCTTCAGTACCCTACATTTCTTCTTTTGAGACAGAGTCACACTCGACCATCCAGGCTGAAGTGCAGTGGTACATTCTCGGCTCACTGCAGCCTCCGCCTCCCAGGTTCAAGTGATTCTTGTGACTTCAGCCTCCAAGTAGCTGGAATTACAGGCGCGCACCACCATGCCTGGATAATTTTTGTGTTTTTGGTAGAGATCGTTTCACCATGTTGGCCACACTGGTCTCAAACTCCTGGCCTCAAGTGATCACAGTGCCTCAGCCTCCCAAAGTGCTGGGATTACAGGCCTAAGCCACTAAACCTGGCTCTTCAGTATCCTGTATTTTAAACAGAAATCAAAACCAGTAAAAATTTTCCATTTTATTTTAAATAATAAATTATCTCTGAATGGGTCAGAATGTTAGACAAATCTGTTAGACATGAGAATCCTACCTTACACTAGACATAAAAATGAATTCCAGGTGGATTAAAGATCTAAATATAAAGAACAAAACCATGCAAGTACCTATAACAAAATATTCTTATAATGCTGGGGTGGAGAAGTATTTCATAATACTGCAAAGCCCTCAAAAAAAAAAGACTATCAAGATTAGATCACGTCAAGGTTTACATGGCAAAATAACATACCAAACAAAAGTTAAAAGGCCAAGGTCAAATTCAAAGATAATATCTGCAACATATATAATAAAAAAATACCCATATCATACATATTATACAAAGTCCTACCATATCAAGATAGACTGGATTTTTTTTTTAAGGAAACAGGAAAAAGCAAGTCACAGAAGAAATACACATGACTAATAAACATATGAAAAATCTTGAGTCATGTACTTGAGTAATGGAAAAAAAAAATCTCCTACCTCCTAGGGATCAAAGAAATGCAAAGGGAAATGATCTCATTTTTCACTCACGAGAATGACAAAAATTAAAATGAGACAATATCAATGATTTGAGAAAGGATTTATTTATTTATTTATTTGAGGCAAAGTCTCACTCTTGTCCCCCAGGCTGGAGTATAATGGCGCAATCTTGGCTCACTGCAACCTCTACCTCCCAGGTTCAAGAGATTCTCCTGCCTCAGCCTCCTGAGTAGCTGGGGATTACAGGTGCTTGCCACCATGCCTGGCTAATTTTTGTATTTTTAGTAGAGATAGGGTTTCACCATGTTGGCCAGGCTAGTCTCAAACTTCTGACCTCAGGTAATCTGCCCGCCTCAGCCTCCCAAAGTGCAGGGATTACAGGCGTGAGCCATCGCACCCAGCCAAGAAAGGACATTTTTATACAGTTAGTAAGAATATTAAATCGTCCAACATTTTGCAGGCAATTTCTCTATCCTAGAGAAATATTTTCTATCCTAGAAATATATTCTCTATCCTAGAGAAATATCTCCATAATAATTTAAGGATATATGTGCAAAGGTGTTCACTGCAGCCTTATATGTAAGTATTTAATAGGCTTATGGTATTAAGTGAAATAAAATCCACATCCCTGAAACAGGTACAACTCTCACACCTTTGCTCATTTCATTTCCCTCTCTTGGCCTATCTAACCAAAAGTCATCTCCTCTTCCTCTCAATTCCCAAAATACTCTTACATCCCACTAAGAATTTTTATGTTTTATCTCCACAACTAGATCACAAGTTCTTCACATGAGCTCTTAATCCTGTTTGTATTCTCTATCTTAAAAAAGGTGATCTTGGCCGGGCTGCAATTATACATAATGCTGTAATTAATATCTCTACATATAAATCTTTGAATTTTTAACTATATCCTTAAGATAGATTCCTAGAAATGGAGTTGCTAGGATAATGTTAAGAACTCTAAGACTTTTTTTTTTTTTTTTTTTTGAGATAAGAGTCTCATTCTGTAACCCAGGCTGGAGTGCAATGGCACGATTTGGTTCACTGCAACCTCCACCCCCTAGGTTCAAGTGATTCTCCTGCCTCAGCCTCTTGAGTAGCTGGGATTACAGGCGCCTGCCACCACACCTGGCTAATTTTTGTATTTTTAATAGAGAGGGAGTTTCACCATGTTTGCCAGGTTGGTCTCGAACTCCTAACCTCAAGAGATCCACCCGCCTCGGCCTTCCAAAGTGCTAGGATTACAGGTGTGAGCCACTGCAGCACCAGGCCATTTAAGCTTTTTTATAATCTGAAAAATTTAATCAATTTTTACCAACTTATACCAACTTGTAGACCAACAGTTTATCAGTGCTAATACACAAGTTGTAAGGATGAGTAAAAAATTTATTTTTGCTAATTTGATAGACCAAAAGGACACCCTTTAGGCATTTTTTAATATCTGTAAAGCTAAAATCACCAAAATTCACCCTTTCCCCCTATTTATTAGTCATTTGTATTTACTGTGGGAAATTTCTGTGAACTGTCTGCCCTTTTTGCTATTTGAAGTTTCAATGTTTTCCTTACTTTTACGTAATACAGACATTAACAGTCAAATTTAAAGTGACTATCTTTCAAATATGTTGCATTCTATTTTTATCTTTTAAACTCATTTGAAATTCATTTTGGCATAAGGTACAGATGTAACTTCACCTTTTTCCCAAGTAACTACCATTTGTTCTAGTTCCACCTCTGCCCTAGACACCTCTGCCCTTCCTGTCTTCTGCCCGCATGTACAAGATTCTGGTCTGGGTTCATTTACTCTGTTTCACTGATCTGACATTCTCTTTCATCTGAATCATACGGTCTTAGTTACTGTGACTTCCTCAGGCTACGGTCTTCTCCTCTACTAACTGTTCTCAAGTATTTTCTCTGTCTTTTTTTTCTTTTCTTGAGACAGAGTCTCGCTCTGTCGCCCAGGCTGGAGTGCAGTAGTGTGATCTCGGCTCACTGCAAGCTCTGCCTCCCCAGTTCATGCCATTCTCCTGCCTCAGCCTCCCGAGTAGTTGGGACTACAGGCACCCAACACCACGCCTGGCTAATTTTTTGTATTTTTAGTAGACACGGGGTTTCACCGTGTTAGCCAGGCTAGTCTCGATCTCCTGACCTTGTGATCTGCCTGCCTTGGCCTCCCAAAGTGCTGGGATTACAGGTGTGAGCCACCGCACCTGGCCCTTATCTCTTCATTTCTAAAATGCTATTTACTTTCTGTTTTAAAATTCATAGGTACGTACTATCATTTATTAAAAACAACAATTTAAAATTTTAACTGTTAAGGTGACTAAGAATAAAGGCGAAAATGGAGTTTATATGCCTGCCTCCTATTATCTTTTTTTTAGACTAAGTCTTGCTCAGTTACCCAGGCTGGAGTGCGGTGGTGCAATTTTGGTTCACTGAAACTTCCACCTCCCGGGTTGAAGCAATTCTCCTTCCTCAACCTCCTGAGTAGCTCGATTACAAGTGTGCAACACCAGGCCCAGCTACTTTTTGTTTGTTTTTTTTTTTTTTTTTAGTAGAGACGGGGTTTCACCATGTTGGTCAGTCTGGTCTTGAACTCCTTACCTCGTGATCCACCGGCCTCAGCCTCCCAAAGTGCTGGGATTACAGGCGTGAGCCATCACACCCAGCCACCTCCTATTAGCTTAACAGAGACTTGGCTAACTATAAACTCCAGGTGGGGCACAGTAAACTGTGCCTGCTGTAGTCAGCCAGAAAAATATTGCTAAATAAGCAATTTGTAAATCTAATAAAATCAAGAATGAAAAAACTCAGAGGTTAATTTATCTCAACCAAAAAAAGGGAACAATTTAATTAAGTCTAAAAGCACTAATTTCATTAAAGAAAGAACATCAAAAAGCTGTGTGAATGTGTCAAATACTCATATATACCTGTCTCACTAATCGCTCTCCTTCTAGATGAGGTAGATGGTCTAGAAACCAAATGTGAAGACGAAGGTTTCTCTTCCTGAAGCTCTTGCACAAGGTCCTAAGCATTCAGGAAAAAAATAAAATACAACAAACTTAACATAACCAGTAAGCTAATTTGTTGTAAATAACCTTTCCAACTGGCAAATAATATTACATTAGAATGAGAAATTTACTTAAAGATTACCTTTTGATCACTCCCACCTTCAAGGTGACACCTGTTCTCACTCACAGATGTACCTGAGTCTGATGATTCTGAGAAAAAAGAAAAAGAATCAGAAACTTGGTAGGTGGGGGGAGGGCGGCTATTCGGTAGATATGTGATCAGTCTAACACAAACCCTTATGCAATTTAACCTTTCAATAAACATTAAACATGTATTTTCCAGGTGGCACCCTCATACTAAATGTTGCAGATGTAAATAAAATAATTCAACTTTAATGTAGAAGAGCAAAGTATAATCAAGACATTAAAAGATTGTAAGATAAATTAGCAGAGAGACAGGACAGTCATTATTTGGTAGGGACAGGGAGTGTCTGAGGAGCAAAAAATCAGGAAATATTTTGTAGGACAATGTGAAAATAGGGCTAGGAAAGGCCATTCCAGACCAAGAAAATGCCATGTGAAAAAGTATCCAAAAGCAAACTAACAGTTCCTGTTGCAGGACACCACAAGCAGTTCATTATTACTGGAATGTAGGCAGGTTCAGATTGTAAAGGATCCTGGGCGTCTAGCCAAAGCAGGACTCAGACTGTCATTCCCTTATCACTGCATTCTTCCCAGCAGATACTTCAGAATCTTCCCTAATGCGATGTTGCAGCCACTCACCATTAAAAAGGATTTTAGTCCAAGAAAGAAAACTGATTTCTAGCTCACAGAAAATATTACATCCAGAGAGCAATAATGAACTCCTAAATGGTAATTTTAAGCAGAGAGTGACAAATCACTCTGGCAAAATATAAGAAAAATAGGGCAGAGGCAGGAAAACCAGTATTAGACAATTGCAATACAAACTTAAAACGATTAAAGCCTAAACTAAGGCATGGAAGACAAATTCCAGAGAAATTAAATAGGTAAAAACCAACAAGACCTGGTATTTAATAATAGAAGGCAAAGAAGAAAGGAGTTAAGATGACTCCAAGATTCTGCCTTGGGTGAATAAATGAGTGGCACCATTCACGAAAAGAGAAACTTTAGAAAGATAAACAGATCGGATGGGAAGATAACAAACTGAGTTATTCAGACACATAGGTTTCATTTGTAGTTGGATATACAGACTTGCAGCTCAAAAAAAAGTTTCAGATTTGGTATATACAGACAATCATCATCAAATACCCTTTACTACCCCCTTGGAAACATTTTCATCTTAACAGTGAACTTATGCCTGGACATTAACATTTTGAAATTATGCATTATCATATGTTAATTTTCTCTTTATACTATGAGTAAGGTATTACACTAATTTTCTTAAGTTGTACATAATAGGTTATATTGTCCAGGAATTTTGGATTAGTATAAACAGATGCTACAAAAAAGATGTAATAAAAAGGAAGCCCTAGGCCAGGCACAGCAGCTCACGCCTGTAATCCCAGAACTTTGGGAGGCCAAGGTGGGAGGATTACCTGAGGTCAGGAGTTTGAGACCAGCCTGGTCAACATGGTGAAACCCTTTCTCTACTAAAAATACAAAAATTAACCAGGCGTGGTGGTAGGCACCTGTAACCCCACCTACTCAGGAGGCTAAGGAAGGAGAATCGCTTAAACCTGAGAAGCAGAGATTGCAGTGATTCGAGATCATGCCACCGCACTCTAATTTGAGTAACAGAAGAGACTCCATCTCAAAAAAAAAGTGACAAAGTTGAGAACATGGAATAGGAGTTCTGAAGTTAATTCTACTGATATCTAAATCAAACTCAGACTGCAAATAATTTGTAAGTTTCCATCTCAGTAATATAATTTGTCTAGTAACGTGCCAAAGTTTATTTAAACAAATGAAGGAATTAATACATCAGGGATACATACTTCAGAAAATTCAAAATACTACCACAAATACTATAATTGTATATTTAGCTATCATACAATTTCTTAAAGAGCTTTAAAACAATAAAATGCCAAATCATCAGCCTAATAACTACTTTTATTCTGGGATAAAATGGAGGTACTTTTCTGGGCTTTAAATCCTAACTTTGGAAGAATAAGTATTCAACACATTTATTAAATACCACATTAATAAAACACTATACTGTGTGATGCAGAATGCAAACCTGAATAGGACATAGGTAACAAAAATATAAACAAGTATAACGGCCAGGCGCAGTGGCTCACGCCTGTAATCCCTATACTTTGGGAGGCCGAGGTGAGAGTATCTCTTGAGCTCAGGTTGAGACTAGCCTGGGCAACATAGCAAAACACCATTTCTATCAAACATACAGAAAAATTAGCCAGGCATGGTGGAGCGCATCTGTAGTCCCAGCAACTTGGGAGGCTGAGGGGGAGGATCATTTGAGCCCTGGAGGTGGAGGATGCAGTGAGCCAAGACCACACCACTGCACTTCAAGCAGGGTGACAGAGTAAGAGTCCCTCTCAAAAACAAAAAACCCACACGTATAACAAAGCAATTTACAATAAAATCTGAATATGGAAGAGAGGAAGTACAAGGGAGCGGTCATTTCATTCTAGGAACTAAATAAGCTCCTGAGAGGTGTTTTTTTGTTTTTGTCTTTTTTAAGAAATGAGGTCTTGCTCTGTCACCCAGACTGGAATGGCATGACCACAGTTCATTGCAGTCCTGTCCTCCCGGGCTCAAACAATCCTCCTGCCTCAGACTCCTCAGTAGCTAGGACTACAGGCATGCACCACTATACCCAGCTGATTTTTGTAGTTTTTGCAGAGGCAGGATTTTGCCATGCTGCCCAGGCTGGTCTTGAACTCCAGGGTCAAGTGATCCTCCTGCCTTAGCCTCCTAAAGCGCTGGAATTATAGGCATGAGCCATCACACCTGGCCTAACAGCATTTCTTAACTGTAGTTCGAGGATGGGCTTTAGGAAGGGTATAGTGTATTCAAAAGCAAACTGTGGGGCCGGGTGCAGTGGCTCACACCTGTAACCCCAGCACTTTGGAAGGCCAAGGCAGGCAGATTGCAAGGTCAGGAGTTCGAGACCAGCCTGGCCAATAAACTGAAACCCTGTCTCTACTACAAATACAAAAATTAACCGGGCATGGTGGCATAAGCCTTTAGTCCCAGCTACTAGGGAGGCTGAGAGAGAAGAATTGCTTGAACCTGGGAGGCAGAGGTTGCAGTGAACCAAGATCGTGCCACTGCACTCCAGCCTGGGTGACAGAGCAAGATTCCTTCTCAAAAAAAAAACTAAACTGTGTACATCTCTTCCCAATTCCATGTTTTTAGCCTTCAAATGAGAGTATTATACTATGGAAGTCAGCAAGCACATAAATCAGGGCTTTTCTCATGGAAAGAAGGTTGTAAAACACTTATTGACTTATCCATGTATATGTACCCATGTGCATCTTTCTGGAACAAGAACCCAATGCTTTTATCAGCTTATTTAAGAGAGATGTGACCCAAAAATAACCAGTTAAGAACCAGAAGTAGGAACATAAAATTCCACTTCCACAAATTGGTAAACAAAATTTTGTCTATAATCAAAGAAAAAGACCCATCCTTCATCCTTACACAATGTCCTACCTAGGTAACTGTATTATTTCCCAAAGCCTTTCAATACATTTTCAAGGTAGATCACTCCTAAATAGGAGCTTTTGAAATTATAGACCTTTCAAAACAAATCCTAACTCTGATATCCCAAGTCTTAAATTAATGTAACAGGGTATTTAACCTTACATTAGAACCTCAGTATAATGTGGTTTTAGTTCATATGTACTTCTAATAAATTTATCATATTTTTATTACTATATTAAAGCAACTTCTAAAGAGAATCAATTACAAAACATGCACATGAACAAAAATGTCTTTAAAATCTTTTTATGGTATTTATTCATGATGCTCAAAATTAACTTACCCTGCTGATTGACTACTACCAAGTTTCTGTAGATCATGGTATATATTTTCCTTGTAGACAGAAAAAAAAAATAACAAGAGATGTATATTTTAAAATAATTTGTATTAAGCTGGATTTAACCAGACTTTTACATACATACTTAGTATGAACTACTGCACACATTCAAAACCAAATTTATCATTGGCAAGCTTGTAGGCACATAAAAGGACAATAATTAGTAGCACAATGATTACGTACAGCTACTTTTAATAATTATTAAAGTCTCTCTAGTTGAAAGATTTCACACTGCCAATTCCTGAAATGTGCTTTGTTTGGACTTTACCAAACCTCAAAAAATGGGTGTGCAAGCAGGAAGCAGTTTAACGTACTTATTTTCAAACAGGAAAGTTTTTAGCTATGTGCTTAGTAGCAAACTGCCAAAAAAAAGTATTGAGTTATGCAAAATCCATTAAACACAAACTGCCAAAAAAAGTATCGAGTTATGCAAAATCCATTAAATAGGAATTTGATTATAATCTTGACTTTCATCAAGCTTCAACTTCCTTTCTTGATCTTAACACTTATTAACAGAGGCTGGGTGTGGTGGCTCACACCTGTAATCCCAGCACTCCGGAAGGCCACGTAGGGTGTTATCACCTGAGGCCCAGAGTTCAAGATCAGTCTGACTAACATGGAGAAACCCCATCTCTACTAAAAATACAAAATTAGCTGGGCGTGGTGGCGCATGCCTGTAATCCCAGCTACTTGGGAGGCTGAGGCAGGAGAATCACTTAAACCCGGGAGGCAGAGGTTGCAGTGAGCCGAGATCATGCCATTGCACTCCAGCCTGAGCAACAAGAGCAAAACTCCAACTCAGGAAAAACAAAAAAAACAAAAAAAAACTTATTAACGGATAAAGCAGCATTCATTCATTCAATAAATACAGACTGAAAACCAACCATGTACCAGACACTGGGGAAAACAAAGAATCAAACAGAAATGTATATGCCCTGATGAAGTTTATATCCTAACAGGAGGATAATTCATTTACCCCAGTATTCGTTGATGTCAAAATGGATTTTTCCTTTTCTTTTTAAACTAAGGATTTGAGAGAGTGTTAGTCACAAAATATTGCTCCTCACTCAATATTAAGAGGAAATATGATCCCAACTATCTTTTTTCACCCTTGGGAATAAGGATACGGCAACCTAAACCCACAACATTTTAAATTCATATCCTTTTCAAGTCAGTAATTTCTCCTATTTCTTATCTCTCAACATTTAAAATTCAAATCCAAGGAAATCATACTTCCAAACATTATCCGAAGATTCAGTATTCAGACCAGGCACAGTGGCTCACGTCTGTAATCCCAGCACTTTGGGAGGCCGAGGCAGGCAGATCACATGAGGTCAGGAGTTCGAAACCAGCCTGGCCAACATGGCAAAACCTCATCTCTACTAAAAATACAAAAAGTTAGCTGGACATAGTAGCATGCACCTGTAATCCCAGCTACTCAGGAGGCTGAGGCAAGAGAATCACTTGAACCTGGGAGGCAGAGGTTGCAGCCTGGGTAACAGAGCAAGACATCTCAAAAAAAAAAAAAAAAAACTAGAAGATTCAATATTCAATAGGTAAAAAAATTCACCAATATACCCATATATTTTTAAATTTATAAAATTAAATCATATATCCCAAGGCCAGGTATAAAATGACAACATATATGGATATTAAACAGAAGTGATTCGTCTATGAAAAAATAATTATATATTTATAATATATATTATATAAAAATTATAATATATATTTAAAAGCTAGATGAAATTAAACACAGTACTATATTTAAAACTAGGTTAAAACACAGTTGCACATAATATACAAACGACTGGTAAAAATAACTTTTGGTAACAAACTATAGTCCTTCTATTCTCTACTTTTCTTAGTTTTCTGTCATTTCCTAATGTTCAATAATATAATATATACTATATTTACAATAATGAGGTTGTTTTAAAATTATAAAATCCCTTGCTCAGTTGAGGAAGTTATCTATTTTAATAAAATAAAATCCCATTTAATTATCATCTTTTCAGCTATACTATTGAGCATTAAATACTAGCAGAAGCTAGTTAACTGTTCCAGGTGAAAGCATTCATTCTATTTATTAACAGAATGAATGCTAAGGCTCAACACCGATTGCCTGTGCTAAACCAAATGTGACAAAGAATTCCAAATGTAGGCCGGGTGTGGTGGCTCACACCTGTAATCCCAGCACTTTGGGAGGCCAAGGCGGGTGGATTACCTGAGGGTGGGAGCTCAAGACCAGCCTGCTCAACATCGCAAAACCCTGTCTCTACTAAAAGTACAAAAATTAGCCAGGCGTGGTGGCAGGCACCTGTAATCCCAGCTACTCGGGAAGCCGAGGCAGGAGAATCTTGAACTCAGGAGGCGGAGGTTGCGGTGAGCCAAGATTGCGCCACTCCACTCCAGCCTAGGCCACAGAGCAAGACTCCCTCTCAAAAACAAAACAAAAAAAGAGTAATTGAGATGGAGTGTTACTCTTGTTGCCCAGGTTGGAGTGCAATGGCGCGATCTCGGCTCACCACAACCTCCACCTCCTGGGTTCAAGCAATTCTCCTGCCTCAGCCTCCTGAGTAGCTGGGATTACAGGCATGCACCACCACGCCTGGCTAATTTTTTATTTTTAGTAGCGATGGGGTTTCTCCATGTTGGTCAGGCTGGTCTCAAACTCCTGGCTTCAGATGATCCACCCGCCTCGGCCTCCCAAAGTGCTGGGATTACAGGTGTAAGCCACTGCGCCAGGCCTAATTCTAGAATACCTGGGTTAAATTCTGCTGGTTAAGTGCCATTATGATAAGTGACCACAAAAATGATCTCCAAAATATCTAAGGCTCAAATTTAAGCCTTTACTACTTGGTGGTATACTGTTTCTGGGAGTGACTGGAATAAAAATTTATAATAGCTACGACTAATGCTTGAATGCTTGGTATGTGCCAAAAACTATGCTTTTTTTATACAACGTCTCTTTTCAAGAGCTTTAACCTCCACATGAAGTATTTAATTATCCCTATTTTATAAATGGGGAAACAGGTTTATAGAGGTTAATCTACCTTGTCACAAAACTAGTAAATGACTGGGCTAGGTTTCAAACACTGGTTTATAAGATGCCAGAGCTCAGGTTTTCAAATAACACGCCACAGAGCTAAAAAATTAAATTTCAGCATGTCTTTTATATGTTTTAACAGTTTTTCTCTGACAAAAGTGAACTGAAATGTTAGCCCAACGGGCTTTTTACAACGGACTAAACTGAAGAATTACCTGTGCTCTTTCACGGAGAAGCTTGGCACACCAAACAAATCTCCTAGAAGATCATTTGAACAATATACAATATGTTGTTGCTTCTCATCATATAATCGTTTAGTCATAATATACTGGCCAAGATAAAAAAGAACCTGAAATAGAAATATGATTTCTGAACATTAAAGAAAACTAAATGTTAGTTTTAAATACATTTAATAATATACTATTTATCTGAATGGGGTAAACAACCAGCAACCATATCCACAACTATGTAGAACCACCACCATTTTTACTTAGAAGCTACTTTTGGCTGGGCGCAGTGGCTCACACCTGTGATCCCAGCACTTTGGGAGGCCAAAGCGGATGGATCACCAGGTCAGGCGATAAAGACCACCCTGGTCCCATCTCTATTAAAAATACAAAAATTAGCCGGGCATGGTGGCGGACACCTGTAATCCCAGCTATTCCGGAGGCTGAGGCAGGAGAATGCTTGAACCCAGGAGGTGGTGGAGGCTGCAGTGAGCCGAGATTGCGCCACTGCACTCCAGCCTGAGCGACAGAGAGAGACTTCTCTCAAAAAAAAAAAAAAAAAAGAAGAAACTGGCCCCAGGTCTTCTGACTCTTAATCCAGTGCTCTTTTTACTACCCATACTAGCTTTCACTACCTTCCTGTGTGCCCCAGAACAAAGATCCTATAACTGAGAACTACATCAGACAATACATACATTACTGTTACATAGTTTAGCATAAGCATTCTAAGTCTTTATGATGGCCTTGGCCAATTTTCTCTTTTCTATCTACTGCTAAATCCAAACTTTTTTGTTTCCTTAACTGATTATACAATGATAGTAAGGTCAATCCCAAATTAGCCCTAAAAATACCATTTAACCTGGCACTTCCCTACAAGCACTGTCTTTGGATTTAACTGGCTAAACAGGCATCAGTCTTAAAGGAATATTCTTATGTGACTGTGGATTGGACAGATTGTTGTCCAGCAGTGGGAAAGGAAAAAGGAAGAGAACTTAGATTTATTCCACCAAATATCCCTTAAGGAAGTTTCTAAAAGTATAGCTGGAGAGGAAAAGGATACGGAAGCTCTTCCTGCCCCACTATACTGTTGTAGGAAAGAAACTTTAATGTTTTAAGTAATCTGAGTCCCACAAACTAAGTGGGAGAGAGAACAGGCATATTTCAATCACACTGAAATTTTGCCTAAGGTGGCTCAATCTCTCACTGAAAAGCATGAAAATAATGCCTCTGTGCACAAATTTAAAGCTGGGGAATGCACTAAAATGCTGGATCTATTAAATAGAATATATGGTCATGAATCAGCTCATCTCTACCCCAGAAAGATCAGTATACTGTACTCATGTATCTCTAGTGCAGAAGTTCTTAACCTGGGATCCAGGGATGCCCAGGAAGTCCTTGGATAGAATTCAGGGGGTCCATTAATTTGGATGGGAAAAAAATTATATCTTTATTTTCACAAACTTCTAACTAGAATTTAGCTTTTCTTTCGATTATAAATGTAGGCAACAAATCACAACAGTATTAATACCTGTGATTTCATCACCAACAAAAATCACAGGTGTTTTCATATCATACGGTGCTTATGGCAAACATTTCAAAATATGACTTATATTCCTCACTAAATCAAAATTATATTTATTGGCCATGCATGGTGGCTTATGCCTATAATCCCAGCATTTTGGGAGGCCAAGGCAGGTGGATCACCTGAGGCTAGGAGTTCAAGACCAGCCTGGCCAACATGGCAAAAGCTTGTCTCTACTAAAAATACAAAGAATTAGCCAGGCATGGTGGCAGGTGCCTGTAATCCCAGCTGCGTGGGAGGGAGGCAGAAGAGTGGCTTAAATCTAGGAGGTGGAGGTTGCAGTGAGCCAAGATCATGCCACTGCACTCCAGCTTGGGTGACAGAGCGAGACTCCATCTCAAAAAAAAAAAAAAAAAAAAAAAAAAAAAAAAAAAACACACTGTATTTATTATAGCTGCTTCTAAATCTTAGTACTTACTGTGTTAATAAAAAAAGCACATATATCACAAACTACTATTTTGGTAACCGTATTTTAGTATGTTTCCTTTGTAATTCTATACATTTTATTTCATATATTTAAAAACATGATTCTTAGAAGGAGTTACCAGTCTAGGAAGGCTTTTACCAGTCTACCAAAGGGTTCACAGCATAAAATGGTCAAGTACCCCTACAGGGCTTCTGCTTATCTGAGTTCCTAGCTGAGAAATGAAACTCGAGTATAATTAGAATTTTCAGCTTTAAAATATAGTCCAAATGACCACAAAATTAAATGTTGCTTCTTAATGAAAAATCCTTCTATATGGCCAATTTCTCCCCACAGTCTTGAAAACTTTAAGTATGGCTACATGTAACTAGTAAGATATTAGTTATCTCTTGATTCAGCTTACCTCTTTCATAGTATAAGTGTCTTTTTGTGCACCAACAGACTTTAATAACTTCAAAAGCAATGGCTTTGGTCTAACCTATAAAGAGAAAAGAGCTGTTATTATACTTCCAAAATTATCCCAGAACTATAGACCCTGCAGCAAACATATCCATCAACTTCAATAAAGGGGGTTTGGAAAAAATGCTGGGGAGGATCTAATTATTATGCAAGTATCATGGAATCATCAAGTATCATTAGTTGTGATCACAGATAGCATCCAATCCAAGACAGGAAAAATTACTTTTTCCTTCAGCTATTTATATTACCTGCTTACTGCCTTACAAACAACCATAAATTCTTAAGATCCAATGAGCTTACTGTACTGATCCAATGAGCTTATTGCAAGCTAACTTAGAGAATCAAAGAGAAATGAATAAATCTTTAGAGTGGATCCTGTTATCAATCTTCTCTAAAGATTAGGTTCCTGAAAGCTAGAGAACTTAACTAACTAACCCAAGCTGACAAGAGTAATTAAGAACAGATCAGACAACCAACCCAAGTCCCTTAACTACAACTCACCATTTTCTTCCTACTATATCATGCTGCCTCTTAGTTGGTCTACATTTCAAATATCTACCTGACAAACATTTACTGAGCTAACACTATGCACTGGACAGTAGTAGGTACTGCAAAAAAAATTACAAATAAGACATATGACCTATATTCAAGGAGCCTGCCAACTAGATTATGGGTCAATTTTTTTCTGTAAAGAGCCAGACTGTTAAGTATTTTAAGCTTTTCATACAAATGGTTCTATCCAAGTAAAAAGTATAGTTACTATGTAAACTAACAGGCACGGTTGCATTCCAGTAAAATTTTCTTAACAGAAAGAAAGGAAGCTGGCTGGGCGAGGTGGCTCATGCCTATAATCCCAGCACTTTGGGAGACTGAGTGCTAGAGGTTCGCTTAAGGCTAGGTGTTCAAGACTAGCCTGGGCCATACTGAGAGACCCCACCTGTACAAAAAAATTTAAAAATTAAAACAAAAACAGGCAACAGGGCAAAGCTGGCCAACAGGCTAAAGTTTGCCTGCCACTTATCTAGAAGTTTTACAAATGGTATTGAGAAAAATAATTGCCATGGGGGAGGGGAATGTAATGTACTTATATGCATTTTCTCTCTTCCTTTTATCAAAATCTGCAAAACTCAAGTATCTTTACAGCTTGCCACCACCCACACAAACTGGTACCTCTGCACCTCTCTTTGATATGCCCCAGTCCTGTGTCTAAATCTGACAGCTGTTTAAAATCTGACAGTACCCCCACTGGGAGTGTCTTAAAAACAAATTTTTTTAAAATTGCCTATTTCCAGCTAATCAATAAAACAAATATTAAACAACTGAAAAATTTAAAATACATATTGAATTATTAATTTTTCTGATTGCACTTTTGTTTTGTTTTGTTTTTGTTGAGACAGAGTCTCGCTTTGTCGCCCAGACTGGAGTGCAGTGGCCGGATCTCAGCTCACTGTAAGCTCCGCCTCCTGGGTTCACGCCATTCTCCTGCCTCAGCCTCCCGAGTAGCTGGGACTACAGGCGCCCGTCACCTTGCCCGGCTAGGTTTTTGTATTTTTTAGTAGAGACGGGGTTTCACCATGTTAGCCAGGATGGTCTCGATCTCCTGACCTCGTGATCCGCCCATCTCGGCCTCCCAAAGTGCTGGGATTACAGGTTTGAGCCACTGTGCCCGGCCTGCACTTTTTTTTAACTGTGCGTATATATGCACTTTACTTTCAGGCAAAAGAATGAATTCTCTCAAAAAAGATTTAAGAATTATCTTTTTTCTTCTGAATTTTTAATATATGCTATATTAGCTTCAAATTAGATAAAATAACTCTAAGTAAAAATCTGTAATGGAAGATGGGTGTGGTGGCTCAGGCCTGTAATCCCAGCACTTTGGGAGGCTGAGGCAGGCAGATCACCTGAGGTCAGAAGTTCGAGACCAGCCTGGCCAACACAGCGAAACTCTGTCTCTATTAAATACACAAAAATTACTTAGGTGTAGGCCAGGCACAGTGGCTCACACCTGTAATCTCAGCGCTTTGGGAAGCCAAGACAGGTGGATCACGAGGTCAGAAGTTCAAGACCAGCCTGGACAACATGGTGAAACCCTATCTCTACCAAAAATACAAAAATTAGCCGGGTGTGGTGGTGGGTGCCTGTAATCCCAGCTACTCAGGAGGCTGCAGAAGAACTGCTTGAACCCAGGAGGCAGATGTTGTAGTGAGCTGAGATCATGCCACTGCACTCCAGTCTGGGCAACAGATCAAGACTCAGCCTCACAAAAAAAAAAAAAAAAAAATTCTGTAATGGAAAGCCATCAGTATATTAGTGACTTAAAAGACATGTATTAATGAGAAATGGCTATAAAAGATAATAGCATTCGTAATCTTACATTGAAGAACAGGAAGATAAATTATAGGTAAAGATCTAAATATCTAAAAAATTTAAATCTAGAAGAAAATATAGGAATATATTTGCAAGATAGGAGAGTTCTTCCAAAGCATGATAAGAAATTCAAAAGCCAACAAATTTTACTTCATAGAATTGTTCTCAATGGGGAAAAGACAACATAAAAGCAAATGCTACATTAGTAAGCAACAAAAGTTAAATATACTTGAAACACATAGAGCTACTCCAATTACTAAGAAAAATTTTAAAGAACCAAAAGGAAAATGGCCAGAGAAGACGAGGCAAATCCCAGAAGAAACAAATGACAGCAAAATGGAGGCCTGGTGCAGTGACTCACGCCTGTAATCCCAGCACTTTGGGAGACCGAGGCAGGCAGAACACATGAAGTTGGGAGTTCAAGACCAGCATGACCAACGTGGAAAAACCCCATCTCTACTAAAAATACAAAATTAGCTGAGCGTGATTGCGCGTGCCTGTAACCCCAGCTACTTGGGAGGCTAAGGCAGGAGAATCGCTTGAACCTGGGAGGCAGAGGTTGCAGTGAGCCAAGATCTCGCCATTGCGCTCCAGCCTGGGCAACAAGAGTGAAACTCTGTCTCAAAAAAAAAGGAAAGGTGCCCAGCCTCACCAAGAAACTAGGGAAAAAATGAATTTAAACAATGGCACAGTACCTTTTATCAAAAAAAAAAGGAATAATAATTAAAGATTGGTAATATTCAGTGTCGGCAGGAGTGAAACTGTTAGAGCCTTTTGGTGAGCAAGTTACCAGCAGCAATCAAATATGAGTAAAATTTAGGACTCATCAAGCCTGTAATCCCAGCACTTTGGGAGGCCGAGACGGGCAGATCACGAGGTCAGGAGATCGAGACCAGCCTGGTTAACACGGTGAAACCCCGTCTCCACCAAAAAAATACAAAAAACTAGCCAGGCGAGGTGGCGGGCGCCTGTAGTCCCAGCTACTCGGGAGGCTGAGGCAGGAGAATGGCATAGACCCGGGAGGCGGAGCTTGCAGTGAGCTGAGATCCGGCCACTGCACTCCAGCCTGGGCAACAGGGCAAGACTCCGTCTCAAAAAAAAGAAAAAAAAAAATTTAGGACTCAGGAGTTCTAATTCTAGAAAATATTTTTCTTTTTTCTTTTTTTTTAGACAGAGTTTCACTCTTATCCCCCAGGCTGGAGTAAAATGGCGCAATCTTGGCTCACCGCAACCTCTGCCTCCCAGGTTCAAGTGATTCTCCTGCCTCAGCCTCCTCAGCAGCTGGGATTATAGGCACGCGCCACCATGTCCGAGTAATTTTTGTATTTTTAGTAGAGAATACAAAAATACTCAATGTTGGGTTTCACCATGTTGGCCAGGCTAGTCTTGAACTCCTCATCTCAGGTGATCGGCCCGCCTTGGCCTTCCAAAGTGCTGGGATTACAGGGGTGAGCCACCGCACCCAGCCTATAATTCCATAAAATCTTTCTTACAGAAATAGTCACACGGGATGGATGTACAAAGCAGCACTATCTGTAATACTCAAAAACAGGAGGCAATTTTTAAAAAGCTGTCAGTAAAGGCATAATTTTTAAAATGGTATACTCATGCTATGGAATACTATGCAGCCATTAAAAAGAATTCTGTAGACTTTATTGACAAGGATGCAAGTCACAGAACAACTACAGTTTCATCTTGTTAGTACAACAAACAGGACAATAACATAGATTTAAATTCAAATGTAAATATATGTGGGTATGCACACAGAAAAAATCTAAAAGGGAACATGGAGCAAAAAGACTGGAATTTTCAGGTTTTACTTTAAAATTTCTCTAATGACAAAAATCTTTAAAACAAGCATGAATAATTTTTGTGACTTTTAGAAATCATTTTTAAAAATTAAATACTGGGAGGTCAAAAAGGAAAAAAAAAATCAGTCACATAACAAACATAACTTCAACCACGCTTAACAATGTAATGGAACTAATTTTTAAAGCCTATGTGGCAAAGGGCTAAGAAAATACTGACCAGTACTTAACAGTTTTTAACTCCACGCAGTTATGCCCGAGGTAGCACACTTTAAGTTATGCACATACAATGTCATTTACAGAGCCATGCTATAATTGAGGTATATGAAATTTAGTTTATCACTTCATAAAATTATTAAAAGTTACATGAGACAAAAATACTAACCAGGGTCTCTTGTTCAGAAGCTGGAATCTGTGAGGTGGTTACAGCACCATCAGTAGGTACAGACATGTTGGTATTGCACATTTGCCTACAAGAAGGAAAAAAAAAGACGATGAAAACTGGAAATCATGAAACATCTGCGAAAAATTAATCATATATAAAGGACATAACGCCTTTGTTAAAACTAAAGCTACAAGCAAGTCGGTGCTTACCTGGATCAGCAGAGAAAAAGTGGTGTGCGTCCGTGCCCACAGGTCTACCCTCCAATCGCCACTGAACACAGCTGGGAAAATGCATGGTTTAAATAGCCCCAGCTGGAGACAAGTCAGGACTTAACTCCTTTTACTGCAGTTTCGGAACGTGTCTGAACTTGACCAGCTCAAGAGGAAAAGCTGAGTCAACCTGCCCATGGAACCGGCCCAATCCCGCCCAGACTACGCGCAGCATTCACAAGAGCGACCCGACAGGCCCCTGCGATTACCCGGACCCCGCCGCCGAGGCGGCCCCGCAGCCCCCAGCCCACGTGACCTTTACCCTGGACTCCCGCGGAGACCTCCGAACCACTCCCGCCCCCCACCGCCGCGAGAGCCGTCCGAAACCCCGCCCTCCTCCCTGGCTGCGACTGCCCCAGTCCAACAAAACCTCCGCAAAGCCACGTGCCCCGCGCCCCGAGCCCCCGGCCACAAACCGCACAAAGGCTGCGAGCGGGCAGAGGCTGGAAACCAGCGATGCAGGGGACACCGTCACAGCCCAGAACCAGAAGTGACCGGTCGCTGCCGGGCCGGTACTTGCTCCTCACCATCCGGGGTTTTCGCGCTTGGAGTCGGGGGTCCCTCGAGACTCCCCAGTTTCCTTCACGGTGCCCGCGGAAGCACGACGTCCTGGGCCTCGGGGACCATTCCACTCTCGGGGCCAGGGCACTGGGCGCTCGAATGCACTAATCCGGGGAGGGACGGGGCTCCTGGCTGCGAAAGCAGCAGGATCTCGGTCAGAGGGGTCGGGGCCGCCCCTCGGGCTCGGCTTCTTGCTCCATCTTCCCGACGCACAGGGCCGGAGAGGCCCCACGAGCAGCCAAGCTAGCCGCGGTGCCACGGTGCGCGCCCCCTACCGCCGGAGGGGAGCGCGCGGGGCGTCGCGGCGCATCCGGGCATTTGTGCGCGCGCACACACCCGGCCCCGCTTCCGCCAATTGGGTCAGGGGCTCGGCCGCACCGCCTCCGGGAAGATGGAGTTGGGAGTGTCGCCCCGCGGGCGCGGCGTACTCTGAGGCGGGGTGGGGGTCTTGGCCGCGAACTGGGCGGGTGGGGCTCGGCCCGGGCGCGGCGCCTGCCTGGCTTGGCACTGGGACACTCCTTTAGCCGTTGCGCTATTTTTGTATTTCCTGTATTTACAATTCCCGCCCGTGGTGGAAACTGCGACAAATGCGGATCTCCGTGTCGCTGTTACCAAAAAGAAACCAAAATTAACAGCTGTTTAATACGTGAAGCCCACTGCACTAGCCGCTGGAGTTGTACACAAATGAGTCAAGGCCTGTTTTTAATAAAGATTAAAAATAGCACTTAAGGCAGGCTTATACACCGGTGCATACAGCTGTTGTGGTTGGAGAAGACGCTGGTTACCGTTGGTGGGGAGGGGAGCGGTTACTTTTAGAATGTTTGGGTTTGGCCGGGCGCGGTGGCTCACGCTTGTAATCCCATCATTTTAGGTAGGCCGAGGCCGGTGGATCACTTGAGGTCAGGAGTTCAAGACCAGCCGTGGCCAACATGGGAAACGCCGTCTCTACTAAAAACTACAAAAATTAGCCGGGCATGGTGGCGGGCACCTATAATCCCAGCTACTCGGGAGGCTGAGGCAGGAGAATCCCGTGAACCCAGGAGGCGGAGGCTGCAGCAAGCCAAGATCATGCAACTGCACTCCAGCCTGGGCGACAGGGCAAGACTGTTTCTCAAAAAAAAAAAAAAAAGTTTGGGTTTGTTAATCTACACATTCATTATCATTAAAATATATATTTATATGTTATGCACTGATTCTGACTCACCTACTTGCCCACAGAGGTGTGGCAAAAACGTTTTTGATGCGGTCTCATAAGTTGAAGACATAAAGAATTGAGTTAACTAAACCCAAAAACACAGCCGTTGCAAAGAAGGAACACCTTTCTTTGGCCAGTACGTGATTAGCTCTTTGTAAACAAGGGCCTTTTTTTATAAAGTTATATCCTTCCCTTCTGCAGCTTTTTTTTTTATAAAGTTATATCCTTCCCTTCTCCTGCTTCCCAGCCTACCAGAAAGTAACCTTCCTTAAACATAGTGGTCACTCAGTTGATTGAAGTTGATTGTCAATATTATTAACTTAAGAGATTTAATATGTGGCTTTTAAAAAGGTAATCTCCATCAGATCAAATACAGTGGGGTTTCTAATTGTTAGACTCAGTGCTTGAAATTGGATGAAAGAAAATCTCAAGCAGTGAGAAAATGTAAGCATGAAAAGAAAGATAAGTGATAACGCTGGGCACGGTGGCTCTCGCCTGTAATCCCAGTACTTTGGGAGGCTGAGGTGAGCGGATCACGAGGTTAGTAGTTCAAGACCAGCCTGGCCAACATGGTGAAACCCTGTTTCTACTAAAAACGCAAAAATTAGCCGGGCCCAGTGGTGGGCGCCTGTAATCCTAGCTACTCGGGAGGCTGAGGCAGAAGAATCGCTTGATCCCGGGAGGCGGAGGTTGCAGTGAGCAGAGATCGCGCCACTGCAGTCCAGCCTGGGTGGAGAGCAAGACTCCATCTCGGAAGAAAAAAAAAAAAAAGATAAGTGATAGAGGTTGATATTTGTTAAATATCAAGTGAGCGAATAGGTTTGTGCTATAAAAGTTAAGAGACATAATTAATTGCTTAGTGAATGCTGGAGGCAGTTCACAAAGGCCTCAGAGAAGATCACACATATTTTATGTCTTGAAAGATGGTGAGACTTAAATAAACGCAGAAAATATTCCAGGCACAAGAAAACTATCAAAAAATACAGAAAGGAAAATATAAAGAGGGCTGTTTGAGTTACAATAAATCAGTTTGACTTGCATGAAAGTCAAGAAGAAGTTTTAAGAACTTGGAGTCTTCTTAAATGCCAAGCAAGGAAATTTGGGCTTTAGACAGAGTAGATATTAGGAGCATAAAAACAGGTGATTTGCTTCAAACTGTATTTTAACAGGACCACCAGGTGTTGATTCAAACTCAGAATAGTCGGGCCAGCTGCCTTCTGGACCGACTTTCCCCCTTCTCATTGGCCTTGTGCTTTGAAAAAATTCTCTTGACAAAGTTATTAGAGTAGAAACAAAAGGCAGAACTGATAAGATTAGTCCTTTTCTAATGGAACCAGAAAAGAAGGGGCAGAAATGAAGGCAGAAGGGAGAAGCGGGGGTGTGGGAGAGAGAGAGAAGCAAAAAGGATTCACTCAAGAACCTGGTATTCAAAACTATGTGTACCAGCACTACCACAGCGGTACGACTCAGTGTCCACCTAAAGCATGATAATACTGCTTACCAAAAAAAAGTATGGAGGGAATGAAAAGTTGGGTTAGTTTTAAGTGATGCGTCACAGAACAGAATTCAGTGGTAAAAAGCTTAGGCTGGGAACAGAGCTTGAAACAGCAAAGGAATGAGAGGAACGACCAAAAAGCCAAGGGCCATATAGTGATGTCTGAAAAATCAGAATCAAGTAATAATATTGAATACTGCAAAAGTCAGAGAAAATGCGGAATAAGAAAGCAAGCGATCTGGAAAGTGGCGAGTAAGATGGAATATGAGGAGGTCGCTGAGAGCTGGGAGGAGGCGGTAGACAGCGGGGAAATAGACGTCTGGAAAAAAAAAAACTGAAGATCACACAAAAACAGCAGGAAATCCAAATCTCCCAAAGTGCCCATGGTGATTCAGGACGATAGTTTTCCCCAGGTACCCCCTCCACCGCATCCTCGAGAGGCCCACCAGCAACGGTGTGGTCAACAGCCCCAGGTCCGCTAGCAGACCCGCCCTTCCAGTCAAGTCCCTGGCACAGCGGGAGGCCGAGTACGCCGAGACTCGGAAGCGGATCCTGGGCAGCGCCGGCCCGGAGGAGAAGCAGGAGAAACCCATCCTCGATAGGCCTTTCTCTGATCTTTTCCCCTTCAGGCTAACCAGGATCTCCCAACCCGAAGACAGCAGGCAGTCCAATAATGTGATCAGACAGCCTCTGGGTCCTGATGGGTCACAAGACTTCAAACAGCGCAGATAAATGCAGGCAAGAAGATATGGCGCGACTGCCGCGTCAACGCCTCCTGCGTCGTCCGCCAAGGGTTGCACTTTCGTGGCGGACAGCTGGACTTGAGCAGCGGGAACCTGACTTACTTGCCCGGTGATCCCCGTTGCTCCGCCACTGTGACCTTGAACCCCATGCACTGTGACCTCTCCCCTTCTCCCCTTCCCACTGTGATTGGCACTTCCACAAGGACTGTCCCAAGTCAATGGAAAGGGTGGGGGTTAGGAGAAGGTTAGGGGGAACCCACCAAGTACTCAGAGAGTCAGACAGGGCCAGAAATAACGGTTTATCATGCTCATTAATTTGGGATTTCAAAACACAAATGAACTCACACCCACCCACCCCAAGTGCATGTCTTCATCACTTAAAAAGTGAGTTCCCTTTGGAAAAAAAAAAGAAAGCAAACCATCTGCTTACTCTAAAAGCAGTTGCTATTGTTTATGACTTTACCATTTAAAAAAATACAGACCAGCTGCTGCTGTTTGCTTGCATTCCCCAGTTATCCTGTGTCACTTTGCCCTTTGTTGTGCTTACTTGAAGTTTCTCTAGAGGCAAACTGCTTATTTTTAGTAGCGTTGTTCTTGATGCCCAAGAGGTGTTCCAAGAGGTTGAGATACTTCGAGTGTCTTTATATTCTTTGGGACATAAACTCTGCAAAACAAGGCTCACACCTGTAATCCCAGCATTTTGGGAGGCCAAGGTGGGAGGATCTATTGAGGCCAAGAGTTTGAGACCAGCCTGAGCAACATGGCAAAACTCTGTCTCTACAAAATGCAAAAAAATTAGCCAGGCGTGGTGGCACTCACCTGTAGTCCTAGCTACTTGGAAGCCAGAGATGGGAGGATGGCTTGAGCCTGGATAGGTTGTGTGTGATCCTGCCACTGCACTCCAGCCTGTGTGACAGAGTGAGACCATGTCTCAAAGAAAAAAAAAAAAGTCTACAATAGACTTATCTTGACCCAAGGGCCATTTCATACTTTATTAGTCACAACTAATCTTTTTTCTTTCTTGTTTTTTTTGAGAAGGAGTCTCACTCTGTCATCCAGGTTGGAGTGGTGGCACGATCTCAGCTCA